GAACATGCAAGTAATCAATCAGAATCCTCTGTGATTACATGTACATAAAACCAAATTACAGGAATGCAGGGATTAATGTATCAATGTAACGCTTCCAGTGCTGAAAGCCTGTGTTCTAATCATTTCACACACAGCCACACAAAAATAAGAACAGTTGTTTCCATTCCTGCATTTGCACCACATATTCATTTAAGAAAAACATGTTATGTGGTGCCTGGTGTTGTCCTGCACAAATTGGCATTTTACCTTGGAGCAGCAGATATGAAAGCTGTGAGTAAACAAAGGATCAGAAAAAATTCCCAGGAGCTTTAACCTGCAGCACCCCTCCAGCCACTGGAAAAGACGTGGTGTGTGACAGGGAAGAAACACAGCACAGGGCAGCTGGACAGAGCAGGCCTCAGGGGCATGGACAATACAATACCATATATGAATATTCGTAAAGAGGAGGAGGCCAGGTGGTCTGTCTACAGTAGGTAGTTCGCTTGCTCATAGCTAATTATTTCATGATTACAATACATTCATCCATTTCTTGAAAGAAGCCAGGTTATTAGTTTTAACAACAACAACAAGAACAACAACAAGAACAAGAACAAAACAACAACTTGTATTCTTCCACAACCCTGCTGTGAAAATATATCTCTTGTTTTACTTTTAAGTGTACTTGTGCATAGTTTCCGTTTGCGTCCTCTAGTTCCTGTTTCGCTGTTGATTTAGAAGAATCTCTTTTGCCTCATAGGCTGCTCTGTTCAAGATTAAAAGGATTGATTTCTTTAGGCTCTCACTGGAGGAAAGAGGCCCAGGACTGTGTCTGGTGCTTCTCCTCTTGGCTGAGTCCAGAGCAGTTATATTTATTTTGTATTATGGTGAGCAGAGTTGTACAAAATATTCTAAACTATTTTGAATATAAAACCCCTAGAAACAAATTCCACAATTTTACCTGTATTCCAGTAGTGTATATTCTGATGAGTTTACGTAGTCTGTGTAAATAACTGTGAAAGAGATACAGTATGTGAGATCTTGTTATGAAAGACATATATAAAAATAAAATTGAAGTGTTACCTTTATCATTGTTCCCACATATTCATGAACTTGGCAATGATGTCAATATAAACACTTAAGGTTTTTTCATGGTTTCCAAGTTTTCTATTTTATATCTGTAGTTTGTTTTTGCTGCCTAAACTCTGCACTTGTCTACGTTAAATATCTTCTGCCAGATGTTTGCTTATGCTTGAATTATAAATCTATTTTTTAAATTTCCTTTGCACTGTCTACAGTGTTTGCTAATCCCTCTACATTCAAGTCATCTGCACATTTCAACAGTATACTAACTAAGCCAGAGTCTAGATCAATGGCTTGCAGCTCTGGTCCTGGGGAACTGCTGTCATGCACATTTTATAGTCAGCCTTGAAAGGTCATTGAGCAGAAATCTGGAAAGCATGTTAATTCCTCCAAATTAGGCAACTGATTGCTCCAGTCAAGTAATTCAGATCTCAATTGAAATAAAAACCACACTATAGCTGTTCGGGGTTGGTATTGCAGATCCCTGATCTGGATCACAAGTATACTGTAATTCAGGAGAAGCTGTGATTCATGTGGTAGTCCACTAATTACTGTACTGTACCTCTCTCCAGTTAGAGCATTCACTCCTACTGTACATTCTGGTCTTCTATCTTCAGTATTAACCAGTTAGATCTCAGAACACACATCTTACCCTGCATGTTTACTGACTACAATTTGAAAATCAAAGGCCTTATGAAACTCTGACATATCATAAGCTCTGTGTCATTATTGCTGCTGCATTCCAAAGGCTCTAAAAAGTTAATTAAACAAGACAAACCTTTTCTAAAACCATGCTAACTATCCTTAAGTATCCTATTGTATTTATCTATAGATGATCATTTACAGTAGTTAATATGTAGTTGTGATTTCCACAATGCAGCACGTAACAAAATTAAGGCTTACAAATCTATAATTACTATAATGGTTCCGTTTTGACACTTGTTTTATAGTTGGGTGCTACATTAGCAATTTTCCAGTCAATGGGTACTATACCTGTCTTTAGATAAGGTTGCAAGAATTTTGTCAATGACCCATAAACATTTCTTATTTCCTAATGGAAGTTCACGAGGGATGACAAGAACCAAGTTTACTCATATGACAGAACTGTAATTAGCAATCACTCCTGATGTCATTTCTTCTCCTGAAACACTACAAATATTGTACGTGATCTCCTTCTCCTTCACATCTCCTGAATCCCACCTCCAGCCCATCTTCCCCTCTGCAGGGTCACTCCTCACTCTGCAGGGGGGTCCCAGCCTCCTCGTCATCTGGCCAGGAGGTCAGCCCTCAGACAAGCGGGTTCAGCCACATTTTCACTAAACACTCCGTAATCCTTTCAGGACATTTTATTCTTGGGTGTTGTCATTTCTAGTGAATGTACAATTGGTAGACTAATTTCAAAACTTGGAGATTTGCTTTTAAGTTTTATTTGTTTTTAATTGACACTAATACTGTACATCTAATACTTCTGCCTCATCTTTGGTGATACTACTGTATTTACTTTGGAAATCTGTGTTTTGCCAGCCTTAGCTGTTGTCCTTTCTTAGCCTGTCAATTTCTTCCTCCAAAAAAACCTCAGTGAAGTTCAGTATCGTGAGAAAATGTATATCATCATATTGTATATGGCTCTTTTCTTTATACTTTTAACTATGATAGATCTCCTGTTCTATTAAAATCATTTCATTAAGCTCTTGCTTTGTTTATAGGTTTTCCTAACTTATTAAGGCTACAGTGTTTAATAATTCTCTCATTTTGGTATCAGCTATAGACCTGACTAGTTTTCTAACTCTACTGGAATCTAGATCATTGGTATAAATCAGGAAGAGCCATGACTCTAATACAGATCCCTGTGGGACACCATTGATTTCACTACCCATACCTTTGTCTGAAACATCCAGCAATAAATGAAGTAATATATTACTCATTTAAGACAAAGTGTACAACAAAAATATATTTTCAGCCCTTTATTTGGACCATGCAGTTCAGGCTACTCTCAATCCAAATACGCCAATTTAATTGAATTTAGTTTTTAATTTAGTTTCTTTTATGAGGAACTGTGAGAAAAGTCTCTTGTAAATCTAAAGATTTCATTGATTATCTTCAGTTTGTATCCATTACTGTTGTTGCTTGTTAAAAGGGAAAAGATTGACCCTTTTTAATCCATATCTTCCTAGATCACACTGGAAAAACGTACAGTGCATGGTCTAGATATGGCAGTGATTTTAGTAATAGATATTTACTGTATTCGCAATGTGAACTGTCAAGACCATTATTGCATTTTTGACAAGGAATATTAACATTCTGTTTCTCCTTCTTGGTTCTAACTTGCAGCAGTGTTGTAAATGCAATGAAACAGTCCATACCTGGAAATATGTTGTCGTGTGTTGATTTCTGGATTAATCTTTGGGAGACCCAAGCCTTTCCCTGTACTCAGTTATGGGACCCCTGGTTGGTGGCACATCCTCTGTGATCTTAGAATGATATTACATTATACAGGTATGTATATAATGTAATATACATTACACGGCTTCAGCAAAGCTAGCATTTATGTGGAAAGACTTTTTTCGCTTATTTTGGCTTCCAAAAAATGAGGAAGACTCTGCTCATGATCTTGCTGTAAACTGTGAGATAAACAGTAAATCAGTTTCAGTTTCATCTTGGACCTACTGTATGTACTATACAATACATACAGTAGCAACGTAGAATCTCATTAGACAACTAATTAATTCATGTCTTGGATCCATAAAATGAAAACACTTTACTTTTTGAGTACAACTGTCTTCCTAGTACTGTGCTATATATATAATTTTGCAGAACAAAATGTTCAAAAACAAGGAGTTCACGGAGTGCGAGAAAAGGCCATTCCCAAGAGGCAAATGAGCTAAGAAGACTAGGTGAAATAATGACATCTATGAACCTTGGATAATAAATAGGTTTGCAAAGATATAATGAAAGTTTTTACAGGTTTTAAAGCCTACATGAACTAAATGACAAGAATTTTTGCTAGATAATTTGGAAACAGTCCTGTATCCCACAAGTTCTGAAGGCAGGAAGAGACTAAAGAATAATGAACATTTAGAAAGTGTTAGTCAGAGTTAGTCATACCCGGAGATGCGATATTTCGAGAACTTTAAAGAAGCAGATGCAGTTGTTTTTTTGGAGCAAAACAAACTCAGGTTATTGATAACTATTTGTAGTATACACATTTTGTGATCTTTGGGCTGGGATTATGATCATAATGTGGGGATACATGTAATCTAGCACTTGAAGTTTAAATCTTAAAAAATATTCATCTTACCAATATCACATTAATTCTTGCGAATAACTATACATATTCCAGAGTCGAGGTTCCATCTTTATTCAAGGCTATTAGAGTAAATTGAAAGCAGTTATCTCAATCAGTATCTAAGTAATTTTGTGCATTATGTTATAAACTGTATCTTTATTTTCTTGTTAAAAATGCTGTATAATTGTATTTGAGTCTTTAACGTGTAGCTATTGTACAACACAATTTATCCAGTGTAATTATGTTTTCCAGTGACTGCTTCTGTGTGAAAGTCCATTCTTTAAACAGTGCCTTTTCTCTTTTTATGCATATCTTTAAATAAAATAAATGTTTTCATGTCAGGGGCTGTGAACAGTTTCTTTTCAACAGCATGGCTACCTGTGGGCACTGTTCTGTTGTTATAGCCATTTCTGTTAGTTCCGGGTTTCTTTCTAAACCAGATTGTTCTCCACTGCTGTGCCCCCATCAATATTCATTGCATTGTGGGAGCTGTAATCTTTCTTCTGTTGCAGCATGACAGAAGTTAGAGCCACAGAGCAGCAACACATACTGTACAATTTTCTCACAATTATCTCTTCCCTTGCCTGTGGAAAATATGCTATATAAATAATAAACAGATTCACATCACAAGTGAGTAATTTAAGTACAGAAACATTAAACACAGCATTGCTCCCTTGCCTCCAATGTTTTTTTATAAGTGGGTATCACATTCTAGGAGATTTGCTAGCATTGATTATTAATAATAGTTTCAACATTCTGAATAATATCAAAGGTGTTACATTGCCACTGCACTAAAATATTTTTACCATTAAAATGCACAAGTGATTTGAGGAGCACAGTTGACCATTGAGACCTGTTTTTTTAAATGAAGTACAACCCCTACAGCCATTTCTTGCAGTTGTTTACCTCTAGTGTGCCAGTGTTTAAAATCATTAAGACAGTTCAAAACCAACAGCAGAGTCAAGTGAGAGCATCTCAAGAGCAGCACAGCAAATGCAAACACTAAACACTAGATAGATAAATAAATTAGTAATATATGATGTCGTTATACTTTTTTCAATACAAAAATATTTTCCATGCTAAACCTTTAATAAATTATCATAAAATCTGCATTACAAACCTCACCCTAAAGATGTGTCAATATGTTTTTCAACAGACATCTGGCTTGGAAAAATACAATTAAAAATAGACATTGAAATGAATAGACATTAAGAAGAAACTTCTACAAATGCCTTACAGAAATAATCTATTACCCTTGGTACTCATGGACATGTGCCACTATACAGTAGCTAGCCAAGTCATAGGATATTTCAAATCCGGTTGCAGATTATTTTGTCATGTCTAAAGGCATCTTGATTAAATACAGAATAAATTACTATATCATAAAGACCTTTACAGTACTATGTGTGGAAGTACATTGACATTTGTAGAGGTATATTTAAAGTAAATTCAGATAATATGAAAACAATACAACATAAAAAAAGAAATTTTCTCCCATAACCCTAACCTTGATTAAATATCTCTAAAACTACTGAAGAAATATAACTGGTGAGATAGAGCGTCACACTCCAACAGACAGCAATGGAGATTGACAAAGAGAATGGAGCCACTTAAACCACAGTAAGAACTTAACACACAGGATGTCTTTGTGATTGCAGCCACCACCACAATCACCAGACGTGAGCTCTTCAACATCCCACTCTTTATAACATTGCTAATGTTCCACCCTTTGAGGCTTCAGCGGTCTTAACCACACAGCCATGAAGGTAGAGAACAACTGGATGGCCACTAAGAATGCACTGGACCTGACTGTTATCCTGTTGAACTGTAAAACGATTGGGATGTATTAAAAATTGGAACTTTACTTAAGACTTTCACATTCGCAGTAAACAATAACGACTGCTGCCATTCAGAAACATTTTGCCATGGTGTAGTAACTGAACGTGGACATTTGGTGGAACCAATCTTCTGGAACAACAGGACTGATTTTCCTGTTTTTGCAAAACTGACATCTAATAAATCTGCAATGGAAGAGGCACTCTGCGTTCCACATCTTGTAATGATACAGAGAGAAACAGTGACATATTCCAACAGTGGAACAGTTTCACATTCCATGCAATAGGTTTGGAAATATAATAATTTGTCTGAAATGTCAGTGCATCATCTACATATTAAAACATGGAGCATAAAATACATTAAAAAACTGTGCTGTGTACTATAGCATGTCCTTTCTGAATCACTACAGCACCATTCTTCTTGCTGGTGCACAATCAGCACTTGATAAGGTTGCTGAACGAGTAACTAGATTAACCCCCCAGTAGCTTTTTTCAGATGCATATAAATTATTTGAATGTACTTTTCTAAAGCAATGGGTCTCTGGCTATGGATGTGGCTATGTGGCTCCTGTTGTAAAATTATTTTACATACTTATCGATTGCTGATACCAGTAATGGGTCTTTATTTCAGTCCTGTCAGACTGTAATAAAAAAAATCAGACATATCCAGTGAGACTGATTGTGTACAACGATGATTAAAAAAATACTTCCACAAATTCTTGACATTCAAAAATTCAGGTTATTTATGTAATATATATATATAAGTTTGTATTTCATTTAAAATATGAAGTACATTTCATATATTTAATAGTGTGTGATATACATCATGTACTCTATATACAGCATTGTGTTTAAATAATATTCCAGAAAAAAATGGTATGGTTAACCATTGCAATCATATACTAGCAAGTTGATCTTAAAAGTCCGAGAGGCAAATTATTATATTTTTGTTTGAGAAAAGGAAATTTGCGACACTGCAGTCTTGGCACATTATGACGTTACTAGAGAGATTCCTATCAAGGACCTTTGATTCAATACAAGCAGCAGGAGCAACGCCCAAATGATGTACTGGGAATTGTTCTTATTTAAATCTATTAATTTTGACGTGTATTATAAGAGGTTGTTCGCACCTTTGCAGTTCCCAGTTTAATGATAAACTTAAACTATATCTTTTTTAACTTATTGTCTGAGGAGAAAGTGGTGGATGTAAAGGTTATTTCACGATGCAGCAGCAGCTCCGCCGTCTTCGATGCAATCTTGACGAGTGAGAGAACTGTCCGTGGTGCTGAAAAGGGAAAGCCTACATTACAATATTTACCCGACAGCAGATTTTGTGTCTGCCTGTTCCTATCTATGAGTTTTAAAAGAAGTCTAGAAGTCTCTCGAAAATGTTTAGCAAGAAGAAAAATGTAGAAAAAAAGTATCACATTAATAGGACCTACTGTATACGTTTTCACTCATTTTTTAATTGATCTCTCTCCCTGCGTCGCCAACAGCAGTGTGAGTCTAGAAATACTATATACTATTATGAAATCACTTTGTTGAATATGGACTTTGGTGCTAAATATTTGACAATTTTCGCGGATCGTTTACTGGACGATCAGACGTCAATCATAAATTAGAGACGAAATTGAATACGCATAATTACAATTAATTAAAGGTCCAACACCGAGCGAGGCCTCTTCAACCCAAGATTTGTTTTTCAGTATCGGAAATTTTAACTTCACTTTTTCGCGTCAGGATTTTGAAACTTGACATAATACCCGTTTCAAAGACTTTTCTGTGTGGTCAGTGTATCCCTGCTATTAACGTAAACATCACAAGAATTGTCCGACACTCTGATCCTCTAACAGATCAGCGCAGCATCTGTAGATATGCGGACGCTTAACGTTTTAATTTACAGTACATACCAGAAAAAGGTTCCTAAGGTTATCAGTGATCCAACGTGTTTACACCGGTGAACCGTACCTTTCCTTAACAGGACATAAGCAATCATGAAGCTTCCTACCGTAACATTCACACACGTAGCATACATTTTATAAATTAATTTACCGTGAAAAGGAACATTGTCATCTTTTCAGTGTTTAGACATTTACTTAACAGTGTCCCCTGTAACATTCCAGTTTCTTATGAAAAATGACATAAACCTGACCGAATTAAAAACAAAAACTTTTATGGCAGTTTTTGTTGTTGTTGTTTCTTTCTTTTTCTGTGTGCCACCAGTTGCTCTGTCTTCTTAGTGTGATCCTTGTAATTGAAAGACAGCGAAAGATTAACGCAATCCACGAAAGACAGGATTCTCTTCTGTAGATCGATACACTGCCTGTAAAACCTGAATCTTCTGAGCATATATTCGGACAGATACTGTACGTGGTATTCTGGAGCTACAACTTTTTCTCTGTTGTGAAATCATGAAACTGTGGCAAAATAGCTTCCTCTTGATCCCTCTGAGCCCAGAAGTCGGAACGAACTCATCTGCGCAGCCTTTAATACCAGGACAGCTCCACTGAGCGATGCTCTCTACCTTTCGGCTGGGAACAACGCTATCCTGTGTTTGCCTATGAAAGCTAAGCTGACAGCACTCCTTAAACAAGTTCCGTGGAGTGGCAGACACACAGGCGAGGAGAGCGGACGTCAGTCTGAGCCAATCCGTGATGACTTCCTCCGTTTTTCCCATTTGAAGAGAGAGAAAAAAAAATCGGCTTCATCAGAAACCCCTCTCTTACTGTGCGTCTCCCGGTTAAACGCCGCAAATGGTTCGCGAGGGCTGAACTCCACAGGAATGCTGAAAATGAATTCCAGGAGGCACTTGTGACACTAGGGGTGGAGGTAGTTTGAACTACCGTGGCTGATTCGGGGTGTTGCTTCAATTACTCTGTCCTCAATTATCGACAAATCAGAGTCGAATACTTGCTTTTTGTACTAATTGGCCAGGAATTCTGTTACGGAGCTAAAGAGGTGGGAGAGGAGCCAGTAACAGGTCGGGGGACCGTCTCTTTCAGGAGACTTGGATGGAAATCACGCGTCCATGGCATTCAATCACTCTGAGGATTAACTCAGCGTGGAGGCTGAACGGGGGGGACGTGAGAGGTGCAGAGGGGCAAGGATCTGCCTGCTGAGATTTGATCTGAGTTCCCCGTCTCAGCCACTTGATCGCTCTCACTGCAGAGACGTTTGCTCAGCTAAATAGAGCCAGCTGGCTTTAATGCGGAGGAAAGCTCCAGCCGTCGTGAGGTTCGCCTGCCTGATGAGGGAGGATGGCTCAGCCTGCGACGCTTCAAAGGGGAAAACGCGCACCGGTGCCCTGTGAGGGGTTTCTGGAGATCGGCTTTGGAATCTGACTGTCTCTCTGTGCTGGCCGTCCTGGATTTCTACAAGGCGCGTCTGTGGATTCAAGAGGCATTGCTGAATGCAAACCTATGGCATATTGTTCGAGAGTAGGGGGGGATATGGGCTGTGCGGAGTTGTGCGGTAAGAAAACCAGCACACCTAGCATTGACAGAATATAGTGAAAAACCCGATGGAGGAAAACAAAACCAAAATATGGGGAAAAATGAGGATTGAGAAGATTGAATTTCCCTGACCCTCAGTATACTGAGCAGGGCTGATGTTCCTACTGCAAGGTAAACTTTTAATCTTCTTATTTTATGCTGTTTTACATTATGCTGAACGCAGGGTTTCTGTTTTTTCGGGGCATCGTTAGTCATTACTGAATGATGGGTTTGGGTACTGCGCGTTTTTTTCTCCGTGTCCTACCTAAGTCTGTGCTTCATAATGAAGGTAATGGCAACGCGTAGGGGATATTTATTGTGAGCGAATTGATCAAGATTTGAACCTGGTATCCAGGTACACTGCAAGGTCAAATAGCGTGTTCAAGACAAGCTTGTTAAGGAATGAGCAATATTGTAATATGCCAGTTGTGTTCTCAGACTGCCATGATGGTCTGCCCTACAAGTCTTAAAGATAAAAAGATGCAATACACATGAAACATTTAAATTCCATACTGTGTATGTACAGTATAGCCTGCATACAAAATGCATACTGTCTGTAGATTATTCACAAAACAGAATATGGATAGACACATACACTGTTTAAAGTGCAATGCGGCTGAGGCGTTGTTAACTATCGATACATCTCTATTTTCTACTCTTCTTTTACGTAGGGACTTTTGCTAAACTAGATACGGAATCTCCCGACTGCCTCTCCCTCGGCTTCTCGCTCCAAGAAAATGTAGCGATTTATATCCCATCGGGCTCTCCTGCCTCCCTGGCATGATTTATTCGGGCGTATCTCGCTTAAGGAAGATATTTTGTGGGGGAAAGAGATCGAGAGAAAGAAAGGCACCGGTGTTACATTCACGGGGTTTAATGTTTACACATAGACACACAACTAGGGGACTCAGCACGAGTCCTTGGCTGAGGGTTTTATTTAGGCGGCGGTCGCAGCTCCTGGTTCGAGCGACACATCTCCTGCACGCCCCAGAGGTATCAGGTAAAGGAGCAGGGGATTCCGCATACAGTAGGTGGACCATCTGCCCAGTCGGTTTGGTTTATTTCTTCCATCTCAGACGGGAATGTCGTATAAATCCACAGAGACGATTTTATTTGAAGTGTCTGCGTCGATCAAATAAACCCGTCTTTGACGTATATTTAGTGTGATACCAAGGTGCTGGCAGATCTTGGAAATCTTAGGAAGGGCTGAACTTTAAAAGGAATTGAACAACATTATTAAAAACATCAATTATAAATTAGTAGTCTATTGAACTGGAAATTAACAGCGGTACTGTAAAATACCGTAGTGTCTTAAGATACTTTGATGTACGGAAACTGGTTGGCATCAATATTAACGTTTTTTTCTTACAAAATATCATTCACTCTGCCTTCCCATTCCTCAGAGCAAACAATTATTACTAAAAAAGCAAGTTTACGCTGCATTCAACACACATCTGATATCGATTGAGATAGTACGTATCCTCCCCGTCTATGTTTTATTTGTGTCATAAATATGATTTGTAATGCCAAATGATTTTATTATGTATTCCAGATCATAACCTATCTATCAGGCATTACAGGTGGAGTAAGATAGCGTTGAATGAAATGCAGTCAATTTATGGTGACGCCTACAAATATACATAGTGAGGGTCGTGCATTCATTTAATAAAATAAACAAAGAAGTTTTATTGTTATTTTTTTTTATCTTCTCTCAAGGTCAATACTCTTTGTCCCGATTTTTTAAAAGGCGTCTTACAGCCATGTGTGACAAATACTGATGCATAAAATTATTTATTCCCAATACTTCCAGACCAGTTTTCAATAGCTTGCTCTAATCCATGAATTATTAAATGCTATAATGTCCTGTCTTGTGTACAAGGGTAAAAGAAAAGCAGGGTGACTTTTAATGATCCTCTCTCACATTATACTTTTCTAGAACGTTAAATCGTGCTGTGTTTCCAAAATATAAACAAAAACGTTATGCTATATTGAAAATAAAATGACACAATGTTTGCATAAACTCCAAACAAACCTTTAATACCTGCATTTCAGATCCACAGCCCGTTGTCAGGCAGCTAGACTGCAGCACTGCCTTAACTGGCTGGTGGTGCTATAATTCAATTTATGCTCCATCCTGCAGCTCTAGTGGCAGGGAAGGGGTTTTGATACTTTGCTGATTCCTCTGAGTTGCAGCTCTAAGGGAGACAACACCATTAGGGCATTGAACTCCAAAGGTGACAGTTGTTCTTTTCTCGAGGAGAAAGCGTCAAGAGTCCATAGATCACAGTCTCCAGAAGGTCACTCTTGACCGATGCCAACGATACAGTATGTGCAAGCCCAAACAAGCTTGGATGACCGAGTCGTTAAATGAGGAGGGGTTCTGGTGCGAACCTCTGTAATGAAAGGACACTAACGGGGATGACCTCAGCAAGATTCTCTCCCTCTGTGGAGAGCCATTTAATTGCACTTGCAAGGATTACCTCCATGTTGCTGCCAGTCAGAGCCGAGGAATCAAAGGCAGCATCATGAGATTCCTACTGCTGATGTAGTTTAATGAAAATCAGACACCGTTGAGCAGTATGGTAGTAAAAGGCAGTATGTCCTAGATTATCATACCCCCCGCTTAAACAGAAAGTGGGATGAGAATACCAGCCGCAGCAGTCATAATAGATGTGGTCTATTGTTATCTAGAGCACTGAGAGTGATTTGTAGGGTGACGGACATCACTAATTGAAAACATTGTTAATACATGCTCAAGAAATTCCTTGATTGAAGCTGCCACTTAGAGTAAGTGTATTTGTGCAGATGTTTTTTTCCCAAAATGTGCAGTATTAGTAAGAAGCAATATTTCAAAGTAGAAATGAGTAGGTGATTATATACAGTACTGTAGGTGATTTCCATTTTTAAGGATTTCCTAGTTTCATGAGTGATCAAAGAATGGGTTTCACTATATAATACAATAATTATTGTGCATGGTGACACTGAAATTATTATTAGAAATTATTTATATAATTAATAGAGATATTAATAAAATGTCCTGTCATTGCTTTGGTTCATCGTATATTTTATCTTTCTGATAGTGATATATTTGTTGCCATGGTACCAAAGATGTGTCTGCAGAGAAGACAGTTTACATATGCAGTTAGCAAACACCTCTGACGGTTTCTGCTGCTCAAGGAGAAAATAACCCTTCTTACTGTATGTTATTATTTCAATAGATGTTTGCGAGAGTCACATGTAAAACATGACAATTATTGTGCTTACAAAAATGGTTTTCACATTTATTGCAAAATGAGCGAGCAACACTGTTCATATCATTGCTATGAAATTGTGTGTTTGTCTAAAAAATTGAAGAAGAGTGAAAACTCAAGGTGAGAGACATTATTTCAGGGCAGGCACACGGAACAAGCAGATAGATTCATGAAATGAGACTGGACGAGGCTGAGCTACTGCCCCAAGTCTTCCATAACTGGTCCAATATAACACATATAAGCATTTCGCACTCAGAATGAGAACAGTATCAGGCATTTCACTCGTGTTGCTTAATGAGACAGGGAATATAGATATGTATATACATTATGTGTAGCAACAGTAGAGACTTTGGATTGATAAATTACTCTCTTTATAAATACATCAAAAGCATTATATTAACCTACAGATTTTGATTTTTTACAAAGCTGTAGAAGAAACTGCAAAACTTTTAACATTTTTTTTAATATTTGTTTTTTAACTTTTAACAATTTTACATTTAAATTGAACATTAAAGGTAAAGGATCGAAAGCCTTTTTAGAAAAATGTTTTTTTCTAATTTTTCTTACCAGGTTTATCTACTTTATCTGCTATTGGGATGAATGGTCTCAATTTGGAAAAATAAACAATTCTGGTGGAGATAAAGCAATTTTCACAATATGTTCTCTATAAAGTTATTAACATGTGCTGTAATGGCTATTCAGTGTCCCAAACTTGAATTATAAAATGTAATTTCATGTTTTTTTTCTGATACTTTTCTGTATCTGTATCTGATACTATTTTTTTATATTCATTATTTATGTTAAACTGTTGATTACTTTGGTTAAAATTTGTTTGGAGACAGAGGCTTTGTGACTGTCTATTTCAAAAGCTAAAAACTGTTTTCTAGTTTTATTCTGTGGAAAATATATGGACAGAAGCTGTTAGGGTTTGTATATAATTAGTTATCTGAATGACAGAGGAAGGTTGCTTTTATCTTGATACCCTGCTGTTTTAAACACGATTTATGTGGCTGTGAAGTAGAATTGCTTTTCTGAGCAAAAGGCTAACAAGTTGATAATCCCTCAAGATTTGTGAATAAGATGGTGACCTTAAAGTTGAAGACTTGATAACAAGAGAAATTTGAAGATTTATTTCCTGCAATATTCGATAAATAAATTCACAAAAGAGGCAAACTAAAGAAAATTAATAACAATGTCAAAATATCTGGTTCTACAAAACAGGCAAACTGGACAGGATTAGAAATCAAATATACAGCAGCCTGTAAACCAAAACAGGTTTTAATTTGCTGTCCATGCACCTGGATGTTGGGTTTTATTAAACAGGCAGATGGTAACAGAAGTTAATTTAGCATTTTTAAACATATTGTTTACTGTCTCACATAAAGTAGTTAAATGCATACTGTAGCCAGCTTCATTCCTTGAAATTTTACAATAAGAGATACTTTGTGAATGTTGGACACATGCATTATTTATGAAAAGATTGTACGAACAATGTACTGAGGATTTAACTAAAATTGGGTTTATATGTGTGTATTATGCTCGGGGATAAACACAAAATTACATATTAAAATGCAATTCTGTAAGAAGTGCTTACAGTATATATCAAGTCAAAGAGTTTATGCTTCCTCTATCAAGTTGTAAATCCTCAATGAATATCCAGCACCACCTGACACAGAGATGAAAAGTTATTACATACATTCAATTTCAAAGCAATAATGTTTAATGTTTACTCGTCTCCTACAGCTTTGTGCTTAGTGATGATTACCTTTTCACACAAGCATGATAGTAGATGTGTCTCAAATTCCAATCTAAAGAGTACCATGTAGAGTGTCAAGGAGAAAGATTTAATTCTACCAGAACAAAGAGAGTTATGGTGAAAAT